GAGTATTTTCTGTCTTCCTTGATGCCTTGGACGGAAAATGGGGTTAGATTTTAAAGACTTTAGGACTGTGAAATCGGGTAGTACTGGTACCAGCTGGACTGCAGTTGGGAAGCTTAGAGAATTGGATTGAAGTAAAATTAAATTGAGTGTGATCTCAGAGTTGAAGACTAAGATGGTGTGACCTCTATTTTGGTCGGCGTCTCCTTTCGCTGTATAAGGCCAGTTTAGCCTCGTATTCGCAATTTGTTTGCCATGGCAATCATTATACTTTCCAGCATCGGACCTTGGACTTGGTGCATTCTCAGGTGCTGCCCCGACAGCATGTTCGGCATCGTCACCCAGACGTATCACTCATAGCGCAAAGCTACAACTTGTCGAAGAGACAAGTCGACCAACTTCTTCGGTCTGCTGTACTGAGAAAGCCTAAGACTTGATAAGGTAGCTTAAGGTTGAATACATTCGGAAATGTATCAAATCTACGGTCAGAGGCTGAATATTATCAAGACTAATATGGCAGAGGACTTCGGACAAATTCGGTTTATCTGGGTCGCATTGACTGTTAGACCAAATCGCGAAAATTAAATCAGACTGTTTCTGAAGTAGGTATGACATAACTTTTGCAACTTAGTCGTGTTGTCAGGGCGACTTCAAAAAATGTGACCCGTTTTGTACACTCCAGACGATGCGAAGAGTCTGAGAATGCTTTCGGTCTCGGTTCGGTGCTAAAAGAAGGCAAGGATAGGAGATATGATTCGGATTGCTTCTCTTGTGGTCGGTCTAAAAACAGGTCAGGCATACTATAAAGCATATCATGAGACTGCATTTAAGTCAACAATCCCACCTGTTTGACCGTCATGTCTAGTAATTGTGATAATTGAGGAACTTGTGTGAATTACTACTTGAAAGAGAGGCTTGACTTGGCCTTGACAATCACTAGATAAGTCATGTTTGATCAATTGTAACTTTGTCATAAGAATGGCGCCCCGCACTGACGACGCTGACTAGGATTCCGGTAAGACATCTGGGAATGTATCAAGTCAACAGTCCCATGCTGGAAACTATCAAGAATGCTCTGGCAGAGGACGCAAGACTAGGTACATTATTCCAGGTCTCTGTGTCACTCGGATCAATTTGCGAATTTGAGGTCAAGCTAACAGTATCAACAGTTTTTTGACAATTCTGACAGACATTCCTGCCTATAACTGCCGGTATCTAATTTGGTTGACAAAATGGTAGAAATTCGCCATGACAATAGTGACTCTAGAGTCCTCTGCTCACCCTTGTCATCCAATGTGCCTGTTCTGAGCTAAATTCGACGTTGGGAAGGTCGACCCGCACCAATCGGTTGTTAGGCAGGGCGTAGATCAAATCCTCGCTTTCCACCTCGCCACCGGCCTCGTAGTCGTTCTCCACCAAACCGGCTGGCTGTGATTCACCTGGCGCAAACACATGCGAACCGAGCCGTCGCGAGGTTCGCGTCAGTAAGCTGGTCTTCATGCAGGCGAGGCCCGGTCTTACTGGCATGGTGATCAGCAAAAGGCCTATCACGGTGACGAATAACGGCAATAAATTGCGATACCGAAACTGGTGATGCTGATGATGCTGATGATGCCGTTGATGCTGTTGTTGTTGCGACTGCTGTTGATGATAATAATGATGATGATGATGATGATGGTGGTGGTGGTGGTGGTGATGGTCTTGCCGGTTGTGCTCCAGGCATGCGGTGGTTCGAGTCGAGGTGCCGGTTCGAGGCAGACGGAGACGACCGAGACCGAGCAGCAGATGGGCCGATCGGCAGTTCGGCATGGCCGGATGTCGTCTTGGCGACACAGAACGAAGATTCGTCGTCAAGTCGAATAGACAGAGGGGTAGTTGGTGATCTCGTCCGGACATATTAGGGCGTTGGCAACAGCGAAAGGCGCCTTTGGACGGGCTCCGATTGCCTTGCTCTCAGCTGACGTGGCCAAAGGCCGAGGTTGCAGTACTGCCGCTGGTACCGATGGCGAAAATGCTGGTTTGGCCTGCTAGATTCTCCCACGAGTTGAGGCTGGAGTAGGAAGGGCGCCAAGGCACCCGGTTGCCATGACAATCTGGGCGAACAGGACAGTGAATGTATGCGTGGCCTAGGACCGGTCGAGATGGCATCGGCTGTACCCGAGACGAAGCCAGGCCTCTGGTGGCCTGGGGCTCGCCGGGCCGAGGCTGGCGAGTCAATAAGTCCGTAGGAATGACAAGTCGGCGGTCTGAGAGACAAGAAAGCGTAGAGACGGTTGATGGTGGAGGCCGAGGATGGCGACAGAGGCCGAGTCTGAGGTCGGCAAAGGTGTGTTTTTGGCCCGGCCGTCTCTGAGAATGGCGAGCAGGCGAGGCGAGCTTCACTGTGAGCACAAAAGATCCCGGCCAAAGCATGACTTTGTGCCGCGAGGGGAGGAGGCTAGTCCGAGGTGTGGACACCAGGTTTGCGGCATTTGGACAGTTACACGCAGTTTGGCTTGAGGAAATGAGTCAAATTCCCAGTTCAACGAGACCTCTTTAGAGGCATGTGGAACAGACGAAATGCCGTTTACATACAGCTCTTTCATAGCTTATCTATCAGGCGACGAAATGTTCTTCTTTCACTGTCTCCAACCTGATGCTTGAGCAGGCGGTTTGGAGCCAATGCTTTCGAGACTGATCTGGCCGGTGAAAATGAACACACCAGTTCCGTGGACTGGGCTACACTGAAGACCCGGTGAGACCTTCCAGTTCATCACGTGGTCGAGGCCAGGGCCATGAAAGTGGCGGTTGGGAAGACATGTCTGTCCGGGGTTTCAAGTCTTTTCCAAGTCTACCCTTTCCAGACACACCATGCCTTGCTCGTGCTTGTGCAGCACTCGTTGTTTGTTTCGTTGCCGCCCTCTCGCCAACTTGGATGCAAAGTGGTGGGCCCGTTTTGATACCTTTCTTCGTTGACAGGCTCTTGCAGAGAGGACAGAAAGATGCCCATTTGTCTCTCCGTCTCTCCGGCTTCCTGTCCGAGGCTTTCGTGTCCTCCTAGGCCTCGATGTCTGCCACCAATCGTCCATTCATCGACGGCCGCTCGAGCGACATGTCTTTAGATCTGGCCCCTTGACGAGTCACTTCGCGCATGTACACATGCGCATCAGTCAGTCTTTCTCGGCCTATATCCCGCCTCTCGCCCTCCGACCAGATCCAGTAGCAGAGGCAGATTGGCAGCAAAATCAGCTTTTCCACATACCTCTTGTCTTCATGTC